TCGGCAGAAGCCTCCGCCGCCGCCGCCGCCGCCGCCACCGTCCCTCCTTTTTTTCCCGGCAGATCTTTGTTGTGTGGGAGGGCAGCAGGGATGGACTTGCGCTCGCCGAGCTGCTGAGCCGCCGCGCTTGCACAGGGCGCCGCCGTAGCCGCCGCCCCAGGCCCCTACGGACGCGGCCTCCGCCCGCCCGCACCGTCCCCTGGCCCGGCAGATGTGCGTGGGGTCAGCCCACGGCGGGGACTATGGTGAAATTCCCGGCGCTCACGCACTACTGGCCCCTGATCCGGTTCCTGGTGCCGCTCGGCATCACCAATATAGCCATCGACTTCGGGGAGCAGGTAAGCCCGGCCGCGCCCCGCCGCCTGCGCCTGGCCCGCGCGCCCTGCCTCGGCCTTGGACGCCCCGCGCCGAGGATGCTGGCAGAGGGGAGTCACCTGCCCCGAGGCCCCCGGACCCTGGAGCGTGCGACCAGCGCTTGCAGCTTGTCAAGGGTGACTTTTCCAGCACCCGGTTCTCGACCCCCCAGATATTCGGGAGACTTTTTCCGGCTGTCTCTGGAAAATGGCAAACGACGGGATGGTGGGGAACGTCACCTATACAAGGGGTTTTCGTATACAGGATGAGTATTATGTAATTTGTGATTATGTAAACCTCGGGCCCACGACTACATGTAGTTTCCAGTATAAGTGCTGGGTTTTTACTTACACATGTTGGTGATGGTGCGGAGAATCTGCCCTACAGTGTCTCCAAGTTGATTTCCCACGTAATTCTAATTTTTACCTTTTTGGTTCCTAACCTAGGATTAGGGGTGTCCCAGAGGCGTCTGGCTAAGCGGACCACTGACTGTATCTCTACTTTGGGATTTCTTTTTCCTTTTTTTTTCCTACCTCTCGGACCAGTAAAGAACCGGAGCACATTATGTTTGCCTGCTCGTCCTTGGTTCTTTTTTCGTGTTTTCTCCATGTGGCGTCATTGCAAATCTGGTGCTGTAGGGTCGCCAGCAGCGTTGGGGCCCCGGAACCCCGCACTTTGTCTGTGGGAACCGTTTTTACGGGGTTTCCAGCGGGATGCAGTTGCATTCTAAGGCCTGGGAGAGGATTTGAGAATGGGAGCTGAGTATTTTCAGGCGTCTAGATTCATTTTTCCTTTTTACTGTGCTTCAAACCAGTAGGGTAAATGCTCTTTTGTTCCTTCTGAGGACTTGTGTGTTTGGGGTGGAGATGAGTGGAGTTCTGGAGAGCCACAGGGTGAGCAGGTGTAGCTCATCTCTCTGGAGAATTGATTCCTATGTGAAGGTGGAGGGGTGACATGTGAATATCAGGAAAAGGAAGCATCTGCTTCATATGCATTGGAGATGATTACAAAATGAAAAGTTAAAAATTAAAAGATCTCATCAGCTTTTGTCTCTGACCTGTCAAGAACCAAAGACTGGCAAAATCATTTAAAATGTTTCTTGAATGAGTTTTGTTTGTGATGATAAGCATCTGTTTGTGATGTCTTCAGAAAATGTGGACAGAACTTTCAGAGTGGAAATTCTACTATGAGCAAGATTCTACTGAAAACTTCATACAGCTGCATGTAGATGATCCTGTAAAGGCATCACACAGTAGTGGTCCCCAGCACCTGTGTTGGGGGGGGCTATCAAGAGACTTCTTCATGAACATAATCACAGTGTATAGACTTCTCTGTCATTTTTAGAGCTGTGGCAGGGAGGAAGCCCAAATACTATGGAGTAATCTGACATAATTTTCCAGATCTGTTATCACATTTAAAAATTTTTGAGCTGCAACAGTAACCAAAACTGTCGGGATGGGGTTGAATTCTCCACTAAACAATAAAGTTCTGTGGAATGAAATGACCTGCTTTTAAATATTGGACATAATCACCATAACAAAGAATGAGTATATTTATTATTGCAGACACTGATTTTGTAGGACCATACAGGTATGTAAGACACCGTGATAATTATATAGAACTGTCTTCCTGTCTCCATTGTTGCAGATTGAAAATCTAAAGTGTTAATCACTTCTGTTCCTGATCATCAAATGTGTGTTTAGAACATCTCAGCACATGCTACATCTGAAGGATGAATGAGAGGTCTAGGCTACACAGGTAGTGAATGGCAGACCTGAAGATCAAAGCTACACCTACCCTGGCCTTTGTCAATCTCTTAGCCTACAGCAGTCACGTTTGCACAATGCTATTTGTTCAAGATTCTTAGAAATTTAGAAATAAGTTCTAGCTTTTCAGATGCTCTGCCTAGGCCTAAATTTAATCTTAGCTGTCATATTTTGAACCTTCAAAAAATTTAAATTGTGCCCGGTGTGGTAGCACATGCCTTTCATCCCAGCACTCTGGAGGCAGAGGCAGAGGCAGGCGGATCTCTGTGAATTCAAGGCCAGCCTGGTCTCCTTAGAGAGTTCAGGCCAGCTTGGGCCACAGGGAGACCCTGTCTCAGAAAAGACCAAAAAAAAAAAAAAAAATTACATCATTTATTTATTTATTTATTTAGAGAGACAAAGAGTGTATGGGGGGGGTCACACATCATGGCACCCATGTGGAGGTCAGAGGACAATTTTTGTGGTGCCATTTCTCTCCTACCTTTATGTGGGTTCTGGGGATTGAACTCTGGTATTTTTGAGACAGGGTCTCCCTGTAGCCTCAACTGGCCTGGAACTCATTATGTAAAACAAACTGGCCTTGAACTCCCAGAGATCTGCCTGTCTCTGCCTCCCAAGTGCTGGGATCACAGGTGTGCGCCACCATGCCCGGCCTCGACTGCCAAGCTTTTGAGGCAAGTAGTTTGCAACCTACCGAGCCATCTTGCTGGCCCTCTGGTGTAGTTTAGACAAGGTATTTCTTTTAAAATATCTGCAAATGCCCATGTGATCTCACCAGCTACAGAAGCTACAGAATTCTTGATTGATTTATTTCTTTTTCTTTTCTTTTTTTTCTTTTTTTTGGTCTTTTTGAGGCAGGGTCTCCCTGTGGCACCAACTGGCCTGAACTCACTATGTAGACCAGGCTGACCTTGAACTCACCAGAGATCCGCCTACCTCTGTCTTCCGAGTGCTGGGATTAAAGGCATGTACCACTATGCCCGGTGCTTTTCTCTTTTTTCAGACAGGGTTTCACTTTGTAGCCTCAAACTGACAAAAATCTGCCTGCCTCTGACTCCTCTGATGATTCTGGGCCTACAGACCTATGCTCTACACTAGGTATAAGTCTCTGATTTTCTTAAAAGACAAGTTCACCTAGCTAGCACATGCCTTTAATCCTAGCACACAGGAGGCAGAGGCAGGTGGATCTCTGAGTTTGAGGTCAGCCTGGCCTGCAGAGAGTTCCAAGCCAGCCAGGGCTATACAGTGAGACCTTGTCTTAAAAAAAAAAAAAAAAAAAAAAAGTTGTATAGAATAAAGAACTATTTTGAAAGGTTCTTAATAGCACTGAAAATGTTAAGAACAACTTGAGAAAAGAAAGCTGCAGTTGTTCTCAAAGAAATGTATTCTGCCTAGTGCCAGATCACCCTTAGGTGATAAGATTTCCTCCCCCAGTCTCCCAAGACAGGACTAGAAGTGTGTGCCACCAATGCCCAGAAGTATTTCAAATGGCTCTGAAGGAGTCACTGGACTTAGGAGGGTACAGTAGTGTGATCATTCCAAACCTGAGGCCTTTGTCTTTGGATAAAGACCTTTCTTTACATATGGATTGTTACTGCTAGAGTAAGCTTCATAACAGGGATGTCAGTGTTTCTCAAGGCAAATGTGATAAACAAGCATCATATTCATGTATGAATATGCCATGTTTTTAAAAATGTTTCCTTGGCCCATCCTTTTTTGAATCTTTTTAAAGATCTCCGTGTGTGTGTGTGTGTGTGTGTGTGTGTGTGTGTGTGTGCATGCCACTTGTGTGCTGTTGCCCAAGGAGGCCAGAAGAGCACGTCAGATCTCCTGGAGCTGGAGTTACAAGCTGCTGTGAGCTGCCTAATGTAGGTGCTGGGAACTGAGCTCCTCTAGAAGAGCAGCAAATATTCTTAACCACTGAGTCATGTCACCAGCTCCAGCCTATCCTTTCTGAAGATAGCCCTTTCTAATACAGGAAACTCAGAATTAAGCTTCTGAGTTATGAGTGCCTTGAATTATTAATGTCATAAATGGGGGGGCATAGAGAAACCCATGAACAAAGAAGTTCATAAATGCTCTTCCTGTCTGCTGAATAGAGAAACAAATTTTCATTCTGTCCCTGACAAAGTTTTCCACTGGACCAAGACTTTTAGGAATAGAAGGGGGCAAATGTTGTGTGAGGCTGAGGCCTGTATTGGGAAAGGACTTCATTCAGGGTCACTGAGTAATGATGGGAGGTCCAAGGTGGATTTGCCTAGGGTAGTGATCAGAGTGTCTACTGTGAGCACACTATCCAAGTGCTTAAAGACAGAAGGGCCAATCCCTAGCGAAGTTTCTAAATAACAGCAGGGGAGACCCCCTCCCCCAACCAACCTGTTCCGTCTTAGTGATATAAATTTCAATATAATTTTTTTCGAATTATAAATATGTGTGGCCAAGGTGCTTTTGGGCATGCCTGGACTCTCAGGGCTCAGGAAGCTGAGTCAGGAAGTCAGTCCAGGCTAGATAATGAGAACCTGTCACTGTTTTTTTAAAGTAATATATTTTAATTGTTTAAAGTTTGATAAGAACTAAAAAAGCAGGGACATGTTCAGTTCTACTTCCACTATGAAAAGAAAACTTCTTTAATAATTTGGATATCTTTTGCCAGCCTATTTTTGGTTGTGTGCCTGAACCATTCATGGCTGTGCCAGCTCCCCAGCCCAACCAACCTATTTTTTTTAAAGGTGTATGTGTAATGCTTTACAAGACAAGAAAGCATTTTCCCCAAATCATTTAAAAGTGTTTATGGGGCTGGGGATGTAGCTCAGTGGTAGAGTACTTGCTTACCATGATTGAGGCCCTGGGTTCAACCCTTAGCACCATCACCATCACCCACAACAAAATCAAAAGGAAAAAGGATTTAAGTATGACTTTAAATGACAGCATAATAAGTTTTATTTGACTTTATGAATGTGCTGTAATTCCTTTTGCTATATGTTATCCTATTATTTAAACACTGTGGTTTCTTGTTTGTATTTTTGCAATATAAAGTTTCAGTGGATATCTTTATGTAACTGGATAATGTGCTTTGTCTGGCCACCCTGGGCTTTATGCTTGGCATACTTTGGTGCCTATTCCAGTTTGTCATTCATACATAGAAAGCACTTTCTTACAGTCCATATTTAGTCAAGGACACTGTGACTTTGGTCCTTACTTCTGTATTATGTTTTCAA